CATTTACACTCCCCTTCCCCCCCTTTGACAGCCAACACTCGGAAAAAAAAAACGGAGCCGGATTTGGGCTCCTCTGGCCATGCTCACAAAACCTCCCCCCCCCCCAAACAAAAAAGAAGGGCGGATTTTCGCCTGCACGGGGTTGCCCTGTGCAGGTGACCCCCGGGCGACTTGCCCGGGTTGCACGGCCGGGAGAGCCAAGTAGCCAATAAATAAATAAATAGTCGAACTAAATTAAAAAAAAAAAACAAGTAAAAACAACTCACCAGGACAGGATTTCCAGTGGCCTTATGCCAGTTGAGGAAGTAGCTGCACTCGTATGGCGTGGGCGCAACAATACCAAGGAATTCCACGTTCGGCCAGAAGGGCTTCTCAAACAGCAATGCGACCTGAGGGAGCGATCATTGCCAAGGCGACAATTCAGACGATGATAATCTTCGGCAACATATCTGTTCCGGCTGCTTTTTTTTTTTCCTTTCCTTTTTTTACAAAAATCTGGATCATTTGTCGACTTAGCACGTCATCCTTGAGCAGGGATGATGCCAATCTTTCTCTGTATCGTTCCAATTTTAATCGATGGTCCTGAAGGGCATCTCTGAATTCTTCTCTGTACCACAGTGCCTGTATGCCCAGCCCCAGGTAATTTATAATTCTTTGGATTCACTCATCCTGCTCAGCTCTAGTGGAAATCAGGTCCACATTTCAACAGTTCATTGATCTATAAACTGAGTCAGGCCCCTTGATCTCTCCTGAAGAAGGTCTAGGTCTTGTGTTGGTGGAGATTTCGCAATGGCCTGTGGAGTAATCCGAAGTCTCTGAAGTTTTGTGTTTAACTAACCTGACCTTATTTATTCTCTCTCTCTCTCTCTCTCTCTCTCTCTCTCTCTCTCTCTCTCTCTCTCTCTCTCTCTCTCTCTCTCTCTCTCTCTCTCTCACAGCATACAGGCAACAATCACAACATTGTGCCCGCAGAATAAATAGGAGGCCCACGCATATGAACATGATACCAATACTATATAATGAGACCATTACGCTGGACCCGGTTTCCGGCAGGTGCAGCTCCCCACCAATAGATGGAGCCTTCAACATAGGAACCCACTTATCGGGGTTTATCACCCCGGTAAGTGGGCTTCCGACTTATGAAGATTTAAAAAAGAAAAAGAAAAATGCGAGGATCTGGGTCCTCTGCAGGTCTAAAGGGCCCCTGCTGCATATGTGCCCGCCCTAAGTGAAGGTGGGCCTAACAAATCACGAGAGGCCCTCGACTGTCAATTTCGTATTTGGGGGTCCAGAAAGTTGTGACGCGCCAGTTGGTTAAAGGAGACACAGGCCGAGCAGCAAGAAAATTCCACGTGCAAGGAAGATGAGCAATAGCGAACTTCAGCAATCAAACAGCATCATACACATGACACCAGATAGTCGTGACCTCGAACCAAAAGCAGAATTTCATCACCAGTTTCACCAAATAAGAGCACACCAAAAGCTCAGAATTGACAATGCTGGAATAGTCTCATCATCATCAACGAAGAACAAATGTTGATATCCTATCTGGCGCTCGGCGCCCAGACTACGAATGGCAGATCCTATCTAGCCTAGACTACAATGCCGCTGATGACATCAACAGCTTCCCAAGTACGAGCAGACCTCGGCCAATGCCACACGCATCAAGCACCAGGTATGTCTCTCGTATCACTCACAACCTCGTTCCCCAACTCACAGATGCCACTTGCACCCAAGGACCACCATGCGCCCCATCCAGCATACAGCAGCGCAGCTCGGCTATGGCTGCCTGCTCCTTCCAGCTCGCCCGTGAGCGCGTGAGCCTGGCAGGCGATAGCGCAGCAGCGCTTCCGCACAAACCAGCCAGTGCCCGAATGCCAAATGCGTAGGCTGGCCCTTTCCTAAATGGAAGTGGCCAGCCTGGTTGCGTGCAGCCTGGCTGCGCTGGGCCCCTGCCCAGAAGCTTCCGGTAGGCCCAGGGAGGCTGAGCCTCAGACCAAACGAATCAGGCCCAGGGCCACCGACAGTTACCCGTGCCCAACTGCCCGCTGCCTGAGTTGGGTTCATGCTGCGTATCTCGCCCAGGGCTGTGACTTAGATACAGTTGATAAAGGAAGCCAGGGCCTGGGTGCCTTCAACCAACTGGCGCTGCGCAACTGCCTGAATTTTCCCCAGATTGCGAAGTAGTCTGAAATAGGCCTCTTGTCGTCTGTCGGGCCTGCCTTCACTTAGGGCGGCCGACGTGTTGCAAATTGGGCCCCAGTAGGGCTTATCGAGGCCTATGCCTCGCACACGGCCTTCCTGGCCTTTCCGGAAGTGCGGACCCTGGGCAAGAATTGCAGCTTCATACACAGACAGTTGAGAGGCCCAACCGAATGAGGCCCAATTGCCGCAGCAGAGGCGCAGCATACTGGGGCCTACCGGAAGCTTCTGGGCCGAGGCCCAGGCCAGCCAGGCCTCCAATCGAGGCAGGCTCTTTCCATACAGGAAAGAGCTAGCTGCCTGGCTGGTCATTCGGGCACTTGCATGCTAGCGGCAGAGCTGCTGTAGCAGATGCTCACGGGCTGTGGCTGGCGCTGAGAGGCAAGGTGCGGCACGTGCAGTCGTGTGCAGAACAGGGTGCTGCTGAGGGCAGCGCCATAGCCCATCCTCCATAGCTAGGTGGGCTTGGTCTACAGTGAGGCGCGGGCGGTGGTCTTTGGGTGTACAGACGGAAGACGCGGGTGTATGTTGAGGGAGAGAGAGAGAAGGATGATGATGATGATGATGATGTGAGGGTACATCGCTGGTAATGGCGATGGTCTGCTACGGGCAACATCTTCAAGTACTTCGTTGGCTGCTGACGTCAACAGTTGCATTGTCAATTAGTAGGCTACTAGTAGCTGTATAGGGAGTAGGCTGGGCGCCGAGCGCCAAGTAGGGAAAAAGGCCTGGATACATATGTTGGTGGTGGCGAGAGCAATCTCTCATTGACAGTGGTGTTCAGTGTTACGATTCTCCATTGGTGTCATATTGGTCCAATGCTGCTTCCTGAACACTGTGATACAATCTGGCTTTCAATGTGATTGTGCAATCTGTATATTGTCATCTCGCTGCTCCTCATTTTCCTTGCAAAAAATAAAAAAAAAGGAAAAAAAAAGGCGTTATGCTTATCTTCTCCGTATTGTTCCGATTTCAACGGATGCCCCGAAGGACATGTTTATCTTCTTCTTCTTCTTCTTCTTCTTCTTCTTCTTCTTCTTCTTCTTCTTCTCTTCCTCTTCCTCTTCTTCTTCTTCTTCTTCTTCTTCTTCTTCCATTCTCATTCCTTCTTCCTCCTTTTTCCCTTTCCTCTCTTTTTCATGTAATTGAACGGCATTTCCTCTCTTTTTCATTTCAGTTGTAATTGAACGGCATTCTCTTTCTTTGAGGTTTTGCACTGTAGGACACTCAAGATCATAAGATTCATAACATCTTTTTTTTTTTTAACTCCCCTTTCACTGAGATTTTGCACTGTGAGAAAGGCTTCCATTTGCATGCACAGCAACTTTGTTCTCTTCCTTTTTTCCTCCTCTCCCTTCCCCCCCCCCTCCCCCCCCCCCCTTTTCTTCCCCCCCACCTTGACTTACTTTGTTCTCATTGCCGACGGCTGTAGCATCAATCGCCATTTGTTTCCAGTCCGGAAGACTTGGGTTGAAGGTGATTCGCTTTGCCTGGAGGACACCGATAGGTACGGTGATGATCGCCGCATCAGCGACAAAAGATCCCATGTCCTCTGTCACCACTTGTACCCCACCATATCTCAACCACCTGATCTCTGACACTCTGCACAGAAAAAGAGAGCAGAAAACATGAGTAAGGAAGCAGCAGCTAAACTATTAAACAACTGATGAAAAAGAATGACAGTGAAGTTCGATGAGGTGGAGGATGACGAGGAGGAGGAGGAGGAGGAGGAGGAGGAGGAGGAGGAGGAGGAGGAGACAGCTTCTGAAAGAATGAAACTCTGACAGAAAACAGAGCAGCAAAGAATAGTGAGGGAGGAAGCAGCAGTTACAATTAGTCTGATCATCTGATGGAAAGACATGAGTGAGTTAATCAGGAGGAGACGGAAGAGGAGGAGGAGGAGGAGAAGGAGGAGGAGGAGGAGGAGGACATAACGTCTGAAAGGTTGATGGCATGCTCACACTATGACTCACATTTCTCACGAGCGTCTAGACCTGAAATAGAGCACCCAATTCATTTCTAATTTTCTAATGAAATAATGACATGATTGGATTGGATTTTTGCTTTACCGGTGGTTTAGGCGAATGTCCAGCCCCTCGCTTAATGCGTCCAAAATGGGCTCATATCCATTCACCAGCAGGCCATGGCCACCTTCCGTAAGTGCTTCCTGGCAAAACCGAACCGAATGCCGAATGAAAAGAAAAAGACAGATCAGAGACGAACAGGTGTCGGAACTGGAAAGCTGACAGAACTGGAAAGCACAAGGCTACAGGCACAGAATAAAGAAGGGAAATGGAGGTTCAATCAACCTCGTAGTATCGCTGAATCCAGCAGGATTTGTTGACCAGGTGATCTGTTCTTAACACCTTTTTCTTTTTTCTTTCTCTTTCCAATTTGCCAATTCGTTGAATTTGGACCATTTCTCGATGTATGTGTGTGTCATCCTTGAGCACGCAGGCGCCATGCTAATCTTGTTTTTTTCTCTGCATCGTTCCAATTTTAACAGAGTGTCCCGAAGGACATCTGTTACCTTCAACTTTAAACTTCACTCACCGACTGATATGTCTGTAGTTATCTGTACCACTCCGCCATGTGGTCTGCGGCAGACATATATCTTTATTCAAGTTTATAATCTAACCCATAAACCATAAGGCAAAATCATGATACTAACCGTCAACACTTGAGTTTCAACACCATTGAGAACCGGCAATCATGCAGACGAGCAGACCGAAGGAAGACATTGCCTGCTGGCCTGTCCCATGGGTCACCAGATCTGGACCAGGTGCTGGTGGGATGCTCTATGGAGCCACCTGTGTCTGGTCAGGTTTTCCAATTACGGAACATTCCCGATTAGCAATCGAATTGGTGAACCTTTCAGAACAACCTGTTTTGGGCCGGGGGGGATACAAATACGGTACCATAGTGCCGATACTTAGATCAACTGAATACACCGAATGATGCAACTTAAGCCAATTTATGCTTGGTGCAACCTGTTTTGGGCCGGAGCGACCGGTTTTGGGCCTATATAGTTGGCCTATATAATTGGCCTAAGAACTATATAGGACCAACAATACGATGGGCCAACTATACGATGGGAAGTGGGCCGACCGGCCAGCAAGCGAGATCAACCGGATGATGTTATAACGGTTAGGGTATGAGAGGGGAAACCAAGTGGGAAAGCAACGTACGCAACACGACGAAGGCCACGAGGAATACGGTATACTACGGCATTGAGCAGCTGTTGGACTGATGAAGAACAAACTGGGAACTAGCAGGAGAGTGAAGAGGAGATGCATGTACAGGTGGGTATAGGATAGGAGTAGGGGAAATGGGGAGGAGATGGTTGGATATATAAGGGCCATGAATTGGCGAGAAGGGGGGGGAGTGCCTTGGTGGGCAGCGTTTGGCTACCGATCGATGGCCGTCTCCCCAGTTGTTTCCAACGGCCGCCTCCCCTCCCCCGCCCCTCGCTTCTCTCGGGTCTATGACTTTTTTTTTTTTTTTTTTTTTTTTTTTTAAAAAAAACTGCCCGAGCGGGGCCTACGGGGGCTGATAAGAGCAGGCACCACTATCACTGTCGGGAGGCTCCATCTATTGGTGGGGAGCAGCACCTGCTGGAAATCGGGTCCAGCATCCCTGTGAAGTACAATGCAAACAATGAATGTAACCATGAAATGTTAGTGTACACGAGGGGGACTGGGCAGTGAGCAGCCCAGCCTTCTGTTGTTACGAGTTTATCGATTTTATTGTTGTCGTTGTAGCTTTGATCGACGATTACTGTCTATGTGTTTGTTGTCTAATATTGTTGTGTCACGTCTGTTAAAACCATAAACCGTAGTGGTCGTCCTTGCAAGACGTCCTATGGTGAGTGATGGTACAAACATGCCTTGTGACAGGTAGACTGAGCAAACCTGCTATTGTAATTTTCTACAAGCATCGTGTTGTTGTGACCTATTTGTTGAACCGATAAACCCTAGTAGTCGTCCTAGCATGACAACCTATGGTGAGTGATAGTACAGGCATGCATTGTGCATAAACCCTAGTAGTCGTCCTAGCATGACATCCTATGGTGAGAGATGGTAGAGACATGCATTGTGAGAGGTAGACTGGGCAGACATGCTGATATGCTGTTGTACACAGGTCTCTTGGCTGCTGCCAGGAGAATTAGAAACCAGTTGAGTTGACTCTTCTGCTTTCCCGGCCCTTTGTCCAAATTCTGGTTCGAGTTGTTTCCCTTGGCCGGCATAGGGGAAGAGAGGGCAATCCGGGGGGGTAAAGGGGGGTGGGTGAATGAGTGGGTGAGCGAGGTGGGAGCCGGGGGGTGGGGGGGCTGTGGTCGAGGTGATATGACATATTCATATTGTACATCTTCTTGGCTTGTCGAGCAAAAGCAACCGCACTGGTGCCCCCCAGAGTAGAAAGGGACTGTGTGTATGTGTGTGAGTGGAAGGGGACAAAAACAAAACAAAAACAAACAAACAAACAAAAAAAGTTAAAAAACAAACAAAAAAAAACAGCGGTGATAGTCCTGGCACACTGTCATGTCCTTTCGTTTTTTCTTTCAATGGGGTGTGTGGACGTATGAGAGGGAAGCTAGCCTAAACCGTATGTTACGTTTTCATATATTATAGTCAGTACAGTACTGCCGTCCTTATCGAGGGAGACGCTAACATAAGACGCTAACCTACGGTCTATTTGCTTGGAACGCCTACGAACCTTGGTCTTCCGAATTCTTAAACCACCAGGAATTCCTTAAACCACCAGAACCTTTCCCCGGTTGAAAAACAAAGTCCCGCCGCCGCATTAACGGGCACATCGCTCGGGGAGTACTACCGGGCTGCGTTTTCCGTGAATATCCATCCAGGCAAAACGGGTTGCATGCGAGGCCCGTTTTGCCTGGATGGATACTCAGCGAAACTGCAGCCCGGTAGTAGTCCTTGAAAGATGCACCCGTTAACTCGGCACGGCGCGACTTTGTTTTTCAAGCGGGGAAAGGTACTGGTGGTTTAAAGTTTATAAACCACCGGTACGTCTCCCTGCCAAAACAACAGTACCTTTCCCTGCCATGTTCGCATGCTACACGTGTTCACATCCAGGCAAAACTTGTTGCATGCAGATGTGTTCGCATGCAACGCGTCTGCATGCATGCCACAACTTTCGGGGGGCAACAGCTGCAGCAAAGTGGCTGGCGCGGGGCTGCCAGCCCCAGCTGAAAAGAGGCACATGCCAGTTCTTTTGTTTGGGGGGGGGCGCACACTGCACATGGCATTTTGAGCCTCGGGACGAAGAGCCTCAGAAGTACTGGTGGTTTAAACTTGGCACACTGAGGGCATACTCACACTAGTACTTTCGTTAACGTATCCGACTGCAATTGCGGCTCAACCTGGATGAATCTGACCGCAATCACGTCCAGAGCTGAGTACAATAAGTCGTACTGTGAGTTTGAACTGAGAATGGGACAAGCCAAAATATGGGGCAGTCGTCGGCAGGAAACCGAAGTTGTAATGAAATTGAATCTCAAATATAAAGTGTGTGGTGTAGTTGAATATTTGGTCTGGATCCGATGGCCTAGCCCCGCTGGTACAGCCATGAACTGTTCACGTACAGAGTCACGTTCGAGTCCAGATGCAGTAGTTCTGGATCCTTATATCTGGGCCAAAGCCCCCTCCCCCGTGTTTGAAACGGAGGGAGGGAGGGGAAAAAAGACTTCTGATGAGTGCTTGGGGCTAACCCATTGCCGCCGTCCCCCTAACAAAGCGCACCCTCAGTTTGACTGTACGGGACCGGAACAGTAACCATACATTCATAATCAGCCTACACTGTATTTTGGGGAAGAAAAAAAAAAAAAAAAAAAAAAAAAAAGAGCCTGTATCCAAAATGTGAGGAATGTGTCCTAAGGGGCCCTTAGACGGCCCTTAGACAACATGCATATGGTCCGACTGTGGCCCCGAGCAAGCCTCGTGCCCGCCCTAAGTGAAGGCGGTCCTGAATATTCACGAGAGGCCCTTACCTCAGCATTTTCCAATGCGGGTCTCAGACAGTTGCTGCATGAGAGTTGGTTGAAGTGCAGCCGAGGCCTTACCCTGGGCTCTTCCAGAGGAAAGAACTGCATCAGCCCAGGGCCCCGGGTGGTTGAGCACAGGGCACATGCAATAAGAGGCCGATACATCATCACGAAGTGGCTACGGGCCAACAAGAAAGCAGCATTGTCGTCGTATCTACCCCGTGGCCCAGTGCAAGTGCCGCAAACATTCGGAGCCTGGAAAGTTCTGTGTGTGGCCAACTAAAAAGGGCCAAGGCTGTCAAAGTTGGCCTGAGCGCAGACACTGGGGCCCGGCCAGAAGCTACTGAAAACCTGCAGGGCCAGGGCCACACAGTCCAGCAGCCGCAACCTCTCCCATACATGGAGGAGGCTGGCCAGAGCTGGGCATTCTGGCCTATGCGCGCATTGCGGACACGCTGCTGCGCTCGCGAGCAAGTGTCTGCATGCGCTAGCTTGGGCTGGGGCGCGGGCGGGCGCTGAGAGGTGAGGGCGCTGCAGGGCAGCGGGGCGCTAGCGGCCATAGCTGGGCTCCAGGGCGCGAGGCAGAGCAGGGCGACAGGGGGTCTTCGGGAGGAGGCACAGAAGTGGGTGTCAGGGGGTGATGAGGGGAGACAAAAACGTACCTCGTGTATGTGGGAGGTCGTCATTGGTGTTGACGACATGTACTTTGGTCTTCGAAGTCAAAGTGAGCCCGTTGTGTGAACGTAGATAGGCTAGGTAGGCAAGTAGAGTAGGCTGGGCGCTGGGCACCAGACAGAGAGGAGCGACATTGAATACTGCGTTGGTGTGGCCTGAGGGCTTGAACATCCGCTCACGAGTTCATTGTGCTGCTCTTATTTGGATGGAATCTTGGTGCATTTGAGCACTCTGCTTATAGATGACTATCTGGACTTCGGCATGATTTTGCGATTTGGTTTTCTGTATATCGCTCTCGCTCATATTCCTTGCAAAAGGCGGAGAAGCATGGAAATCCCATCAAGACATCCAAAGCAGAGTCCACGCAGTCCCGGGGGGGGGGGGAGAGGAGGAGTGTTACATCTTCGACTCACACGGGTCCTACCGGACCCGACTTAGGGCCGGAGGGACACACCAGGGCCTAAAGGCCCGACCTTTGGGGTTACAGG